AACTTACCCCTTAAATAAGGAATATACCTTAAACCATAATATTAAGGTCCGTATAACGTAAGGTATGTTCCTTATTTAAGGGGTATTGGGCTCTCTGGGTAATAACTACCGATACTTTTTTGGCAGTTCCTTATTATAAATATGGGAGTCTCCAAAAATTAGGGTACCTTATTTTGGGGTCCTTATAATAAGGATCCTATTATTTAAGGTACTATATTAGGGTCCCCTATTTTCGGAAACCCCCATATAGTATAATGGGCCCCAAAACCCTATTCTAATCATTAAGGCCCCTACAGTAGGAGCTCCAAAGTTTCGGGGGATCAAGGTTACAAGATGTTGTCGTCACCTGCTTTAGTTTAGTATCATTACGACGCGATGCCGCTAGGAGCACAAAATGGCACTATGTCAGTTCTAGCTCATTTCCGTGAAGGCCTTCTGAAGCGAGAAAACTTCACATGAAACATGAATCTGACATGGCTCTGCCAGGCATGGAATCACTCTCCGCGGCATTGCCGCGCTGTTATGGATTGAGGCACCAGGGTTGGTTGCTGTTTGATGTGTTCTTTCTTCGATGAAATCAGCTGTCGACACTGTTTCGGTCGGCTTGACACTCCGACGAGTTCCAGCTGGTGCTCATTGGGAGAATCTCGTTTTCATCCAACTCACTTGATGCCGAAGCCTTGCCGAAGTGATCCTTCTGCCCCCAAGCAAGCATCCAACAAGCAGGCAGAAGCGCGCCGGTCTCTGCCAAACTCTTGTCTGCCTTGCCCAAGAATTGATAACAACCAGGGGGGCTTGCTTCAAGTCGTGTGTTGTGCTTCAGAGTACCCGTACGAGCAACATAGCAACTAGTCACCACGCATATCATCTTCAACAGCAGAGAAGCACGAATGCCACGTTCGCGACTAACGCCTCTGCCTGTCTCTCACTCCCTTTCTTCCTGAACCCCCCCAGGCCCCCCCAAAGCCAAAACCCTTAAGGCCCTAACACCCTAAACCATCCTAAAACCCTGAACCCTGGACCCCTAAAACCCCAAAGCCAAAGCCCTTAAGGCCCTAATGCTCTAAACCCCAAAGCCAAAACCCTTAAGGCGCTAAAACCAAAATCCCGTGGGTCGCTGCTCAGAGACTCCAACATCCCTTAATTAAGGAATACACCTTAGATTATGGTAGGATCCCCAATATGATTTAAGGTCTATTCCTTTTTTAGGGATATTGGAGTCTCTGGGTGTGGCATTTGCGGAATATATTCTCAATCATAATATTAAGGCCCTATAATTTATAGTTTAGGGTATATTCCTTAGATTATGATTTTAGGTATAGGGGTAAGTTGGGCTGTCTGGGCCCTAAACCCAGAACCCTAAACCCTAATGTAAGATCTATATCCTTCTTTATGGGGTAAGTGGTGCTCTCTCTGCGGCGGCGCCAACCCCATATACCTTAAAAAATATACTAAGATTCCTTAATTCAGGGATATTGGAGTCTCTGGGTGTGGCTCTCTGCCAAGACCTATAGATCCCTGTAAGGGCCCTTATACCTCAAGGTATATATCTCTTTTTTTAAGGGGTCCCTTGCTCTCTGCCGGCAATAAAGCCTAAACCCCAAACCCCAAACCCTTAAGGGGTCCCTTGGGCTCTCTGGGCCCTAAACCCTAAACCCTAATGTAAGGGCTAGGGGTCCCTTGGGCTCTCTCTGCGGAGGCACCAACCCCAATATACCGTAAATATAGTAGGATCCCTAATATGGTTGTAAGGTGTCTATTCCTTCTTTTGAGGGGTATTTATTGGGCTCTCTTTGCGGAGGCACCCGCCCCTATGATTCCCTGTCCTTCTTTAAGGGGTCCCTTGGGCTCTCTCTGTGGAGGCACCTGGATCTCAGCTGGAACTCTTTCGGCCTCCCGGGAGGCGAAGCCATGGCCCAGGCGTCGGCCGACGAACAACAACTGAAACATTTTAGGGGTTTAGGGGTTTAGGGGTTTGAGGGTTTAGGGTTTAGCGGTTTAGAGAGCCCAATACCCCTTAAATAAGGAATATACCTTAAGTTACAGGGGCCTTAAAATTACAACTGAAACATAGAGGGGCCTTAATATTAAACCTTCAATTATAGAGGCCTTAAAGGGATCTATAGGGGTGACGTATAGGGGCCTTAATATTAGACCTTACATCCTAGGGGCCCTTAAAGGGATCTATAGGGGTTTAGGGTTCAGGGTTATACCTTAAGTTATAGGGGCCTTAATAAATAATATAATTTAGGGTAGATTCCTGAATTAAGGGGTATTGGGCTCTCTGGGAACCTGACACGTGGGTATACTTGGAGCATCATGGGACTTAGTAACTAGGGTTATAGATAAGGTAACTATAATGATAATCCCAATTAGGGTACTTATAACCTTACTTACGAAGTCCCATGATCCTCCAAGTAGGGGCCTTAAATAGAGACCGTAAATTAACAGGGGCCTTAAAGGGATCTATAGCAAGACCCTATTCTAATTATTAAGGCCGCGACATTGCCTCATTTTTTTTCATTGCTGGATGTTTTGGAGGGAACTTCGAAACCGCATCGGAAGGCGAAGCTCTTGGTGAGTTCACTTGCTTTTCAGAATTTGCAGGGGCATAGGGAAGTCCCTAAACCCTAAACCCTAAACCCTGAACCCTAAGTCTCGATGACTCGAAGCCTGAAGTCATCACCCCAGAAGCCAAAGCTCAAGCCCCTAAGCCCGACAGGCGCAAACATGTCCACGGTCAAAGACGTGAAGTTCCTGACGCAACCTGCTGTAATGTATGTATGGTTGCAGGTACGTATGTATGTATGTATGTATGTATGTATGTACGTATGTAGGTAGGTAGGTAGGTAGGTAGGTAGGTAGGTAGGTAGGTAGGTCGGTCGGTCGGTCGGTAGGTAGGTAGGTATGCATATATGTACACATTATTAACAATATAAGTTATAAGTACCTTCGGGGGGGGGGTTAGAAGTAGTTGTACGTATAGTTGCCTTATAACAGCCCCAGTTATTAAGTCCCATGATAGCAAGCATTTCGTATATAACTATGGTAGCCTCGAGTGATACTTGCCGGGTCAGCGGTTCTCACTGAATCCGTGGCCGCGGAGCCCACCTTTCAGGATTCCAGGGGAAGGAGCCGTTTCGTCGTGTCGTCTTGGACTACTAAGCAGCTGGTTAAGGGCTCCCTATTAAGCAGTCATATAATGCTATATAGTAGTTATGATATACCCCAAAACCCTGTTCTAGCTTGCTATTAAGGATCCACGAGTGTGATACATTGCAGCGCATTTTGGCTCCCTGAAGTGTGCTAGTGTACCGAATCGGCCAGATTCGCGATTCCGCCGAGATGCTGCGGGTCAGGATGATTTCAGGGGAAGAAGTGGCGAGCATTCCTTTGGAGGAGTTCCGTGAGGAGCCGTGTGATGTGACACCCGGCTCTTGTTGGTTCTTCTGAAGGAAGGAACTTGCTTATTTTGGTTACCGGAATCTGGAATGTGTTGTACTGCTTTCCTTATCATCAAGGTGCGTAGCTTAAGCGCAAACGGTCCAAATACTTCACGACTCATAACTATATACTCTCCAAAATACTTACAGAACTGCTACTCCAAACCCGAGTATCTAATTATTGGGTCCTGGGACCCTTAGGGAAACTATGCTCGCCAAGAAAAGCCCAGGAAGAGCTTGAAGCGACCCTAAACCCTAACTCCTAAATCCTAAAACCTAAGCCCTATACTTAAACAAAAGCCCAGGAAGAGCTTGAAGCAGCGGCTGTGTCAGCTGAAGGAAATGCCTCCGCGCTTCAGGCAGAGGCTTCTTCTCCAGGGGCAGACTTTAGAGGAGAGGGTTTAAGGTTTAGGGTTTTAGGGTTTTGGGTTTAGGGTTGCCGAGAATCCCGAGCGCCGAATTTTGAAGCCTGAATAATTACAGATATGTGTTTCCGGGTTTCCTTCAATTTAAAAAGTTATACGACAATAATTACCCCAACACCCTATTCGAATGTTTAAGGCCCCTATATTAACCCTGTAGCCCGAATGCCTGACCCTAAACCCTAAACCCTGAACCCTAAACTCTAAACCCTAAACCCTAGACCCTAAACCCTAAACCCTAAACCTTAAACCAAAATCCTACTCCCTCAAACTTGCGGCTTCGGCCCTACACACCCAAAGCCTCCTCCTGAAACCCTAAACCCTAAACCCGACTTAAAGGATCATGGGACTTAGTAAGTAGGGTTCCTTAAAGGGTTCCTCACAAGGTTTCTATAAGGGATCTCTAGAGTTTTAGGGTTTAAAGGATCATGGGACTTAGTAAGTAGAGTTGTAACTAAGGTAACTATACTTATATTTACGTATAACCCCAATTAAGGGACTTATAACCTTACTCACTAAGCCCCATGATCCTCCAAGTAAGCAGTCTTTGACCCCAACACCTCTGCAAAGGATACTGCTAACCTCGCCTCCCCGATGGACTTGGAGCTCGTGCTGATGCCTTTCGCTGATGTTTCTGAAGCGCAGGTGGACTTTCGCGAAATCAGGGACCGGTTTACGGTTTTTGGGGGAAAGGTTCTGCATGGGTTCTCTTGTAGTTCAGAAAGGGGTTTTACATTGGGTTTACAAGGGATTTAAAGACTAATGGCTACAAGTCCAAAGTGACTACTGATCGATTTCTTGGTGGACCCTTACTGACAAAAGACCCTTAATGTCAGTAGCCCTATATGTGAAATGCCCCTAAACCCACATGCGTTGATTCATACTCTACGCTGCGTAAGTTGCAAGTATATACGCATGGGTAGTCCCTAAACCCTAAACCCTAAACCCTAAACGGTTTAGGGTTTAGGGTTTAGGGTTAAGTATACAAACCCGTCGGGTAGCATAAGAATGTTCCAGGTGAACGACCTCGCGGCTGCTGCTGAGCAAGGGTTTGTGACTGAGGTGGGTTTAGGGTTTAGGGTTTAGGGCTTAGGGTTTAGGGTTTATGGTTTAGGGTCCCGAACACTCCAACTAGCCCATCGTAGGTTCCATCTTTTTGCCTTTCAGAACACATCCCTAAACTTTAAGGTAGCAGCGCATGCCCGAAGCTCGAAAGCAGCAGGTATGTTCAGATCTAGGGTTTGCAGCTTTGGTTTAGGTTTCCGTCGAGATGAGGGAGTTGGAAATCCTCAACCCTTTTAACCCTTATAGCCCTACCCTCGGATCCAACCGTCTTTGTTGTCCCTGCTTTTGACAGATAGCCGGTTTGGAGTGTTAGAAGACGGGAGGTTGAGAGGATGTTGCGATTGCCGCAAGATCCAAACTCCCACGACTGGTCCGGCTTTACAGCTCTGATGCGGGCGTGTGATTCTGGCCCTGTCGAAGCTGTGGGTTTGCTACTGGAGGCCGGTGCCGACAAGGAATTGGCAGACCGAACGAGCGGTTGCACACCTCTGATCATGGCGTCTCAGAGAGGTCGCGTCGAGGTCGTGTGTTTGCTTTTGGATGCTGGCGCGGAGAAGGATGCAGCAGATCGCAGCGGCTTGACAGCGTTGATGAAGGCATCTGCGAATGGCCATGTCGAAGTCGTCCGTCTGCTCTTGGCTGCCGGAGCAAACAAGGATCTGGCAGAAAATCGTGCGCGCACAGCTCTCATGGTGGCATCTGAATGTGGATCTGTCGACGTCGTGCGGTTGCTATTGCAGGCTGGTGCCGCCAAAGACTTGGCGGGCGTGGGTGGCTACACAGCTTTGCTCACGGCTGCCGAGAAAGGCCACGTCGAAATCGTCCACTTGCTTCTAGATGCTGGCGCCGACAAGGACTGTAAGTTGGCCCGCCTCGGCTCTACCCCTTTGATGCTGGCATCTCGCGACAACCACGTCGAGGTCGTACGTTTGCTGCTGGACGCTGGTGCCAAGAAGGACTTGCCAGACAGCTTCGGTAGGACAGCGATGTCATTTGCAAAGCATTCCGGCAATACTGCTATTGTGCAGCTCCTCTCCTGAGCGACCATTGCAAAAGAGCGGTTCCAGGAGTGCTTGTGGAAGCTTTGTGTGCCGCCCTGTCAAGAGTTGCGGACTCATGGCGTCCGGTCTTGAGTCTTCACCCCTAAACCGCTAAACCCCTAAGCCCAACACCCTGGCCTAACCCTAAATTCTATAAACCTTAATACCAGCATCATTGTCAAACGAGGGCACGCACTGATTCTGTCACGTGCAACCGTGCAACCACTGGGTTTATTGCTGCAGATCTAGAAAGTTTTTTGGGCTTAGGTGTCGAGGCAGTTTCCTTTCTGTTGTTGCCGTTGGTCGTGACAGGAGCTAAGCATGGCAGTGGTCATCAGGAGCACTCGAAGCAGCTATGGCCCTGGCTGACATGCACAGCAATCCAAAGAAATTACACTCCTGTAATAAATATTATGTCTTCTTTCCTTTCTTGGTGAGGGAGGGGGAGTGCTGGGCAAGTTCTGCAATGCAATGGTTCTGGGCCTTGATAAAGCCCTAAGCCCTAAACCCTTCACCCTAAACCCTAAACCCCAAAACCCAAAGCCACGGACGTCTTACCAGCGCATTAGTTGAGACGTTAGGGTTCAGCGGTTTAGGGTTTAGGGTTTAGGAGGCTACGGGGACTAAGGAATTCAATTTATCTTGATGATTTGGATTCCAATCAAGTTACTCGCGTGATATACCGTTTGTCTATCAGACAAGTAAACGCAAAGGATATCTAAAAACATGGGAACCCTAACCCTTAGCATCAACAAAGCCCAAAAGCCTTGTATAATAGGGTCTTTTTGGGACTACAAGCCTTCACCTATGAGTCCTTTGAGGGTCAGGGTGAAATTTCGAGCTCAAAACACTAAGACCCGGACTAAGACTTCTAAACAACTAAACCCGACACTTGGAACGCCAAGGCTCTTCATAAAAGCACCCACTGAAGCCTCGACACAAGAGAACTCCTCTGTGGCCCCCTCTGCTAGGCCTCCCGGTGGGCCCTTGTTCCTTTTCTCTGGCCGTAGGTTCCTTTATAAAACTAGGGTTTAGGGTTTCCCAAACCCTAAACCCTAAGCCCTAAAGCCCTAAACCCTAAACTCTATGATACACTCTAAGCCCAAAAAGGAGCCCTCTTCGTCGGATCCGAGTCGTAAGCCTTGTCACGGGTTTAGGGTTTGGGTTCTTGGTGAGACATTTGCTATAATCCTAAGAGTTCGATGACGCCTTATTACCACAAAAAGCCTATGAACCCTCAAGGCTTAAGGAACCCTAAACCTTCAACCCGCGTAGACCGCTTATAGAAGACTTCTAGATCCCTCTATAACCCTCAACCCTCAACCCTAAACCCTCTGTAGACCCCTTAAAGAAGCCTTATAGATCCCTCTATACAGGTGTAAGGCCTCAAAGAGCCCCCTTCCAGGCTTGTGCAGCGGCCCGTCCCAAGCGGTTCAAGGAGCCTCTTGGATCTGTCAAGGCTCTTGTTACTTAAAGGATCATGGGACTTAGTAAGTAGGGTTATAATTAAGGTAACTATACTTATAACCCCAGTCAGGGGGCTTATAACCTTACTTACTAAGTCCCATGATCCTCCAAGTAGGGTTTGGGGTTTCGGGTATTTTGTGAGGGTTTCGTTTGTATGGGGATGTTTAGGTTTAGGGTTTCATTAGGGTTTAGGGTTTATTTTAGGGTTTTCGGGTCTAGAGGGATGTGGGTTCGGTAAGTGTTCTAACAATGGCTTTTGCACAAGACTGGCTGTTGTGTTTTGAGAGTCTTCAGTTTTAAGAGTTTTGCGGTCCAGGGCTTCCGGGTGTTGGCCTGTAGGGCTGGGTTTTTCGATTGAGCCTTAAAAAGCCTTAAATCTCTCAAAGCCGAGAAGCAAGTTCTAACTCCCCCCCGGTCCAACCCGACAGCTAAACCTGATTCCCTGCAACATAGAAGCCTTAACCCTTACAGAACCCTGGAAGAGCCCTTATGCAACCCGTAAGAAGCCGTGAAACATCCGCAAACCCCCATCCACTCCCGGCACAGTGCCTGGATCCAGGTCGGAGAGGATACTGCGACAGATGGCATGGATCTGAGAGAGTGCCGGAATATAGGGCTTTAGTACAATAGGGTTATTGGGGTACATTGCAGGTCTGATCACCGGATTGTTTTTAAGTCATACTACCAACGCTCGCTGTGTTAAGCAGTATTCCTCAACTAAGGGTTATCGGGCTCTCTAAGTAGTGCCTTGCCTTTGGCTTAGCGTCTTTAAACCAGTCGTGGTTTAGGGGTATAGGGTTCAGGAAATTATGTCTCAATTAGAGTATTCTTGCTCCAGCGGAGAAGGTCTGCGCAAGCAGGCGGTCTTGAAATTACGGCAATCGAAACGGCACTAGGTGTCAGGGTCGCTGGTTATGATAATATGCTTGTTGTTTAAGGTCTATACTGCGGTTCCTCATGTTGTGAAACTCCTGGGTAGGTTCGAACCTAATTAAAGCCCAAGGCAGCAATCTTAGGGCCTAATCCATCCTGCCACTACACCCTCTAGCCTCCAGCCTGAATCTCGAACCCAGATTGCTCGGGTTTAGGGTTTAGGGTTCAGGGTTTAGGGTTTAGGCATTAGGGTTTATGGTCCCTGAATCCATCAAAACCGAATCAACACCGCACTGCCCAAAACCGTGAACTCCGAACCCCAGAGCTGCGCAACGCTCAAAGGTGCGTTGCAACGTTGCCCCAAACGCTGCCACCCTGGACATCCTTCTTTGGGCCGGAATCTCGACTCATGCTTGGGAGCTAGGATTACCCCAGGGGTTTGAACACTTCGGGACTTGGATAACGGTTTAGGGTTTAGGGTTTAGGGTTCAGGGTTTAGATGGGAGTTAGGATTAGGGGGACCCTTGGGGATATAGACCCTCTCAATAAGGTCCCTTTTAAGAAGGCCAGAAGTAGGGTTCAGAAGGGGTACCCCTAAACCCTAAACCCTAAACCCTAAACCCTAAACCCTAAACCCTAAACCCACTACCTAATGCTCACATGCGAGACGCGAGGGACCAAGTTCCAAAAGAGTGATCTTCAGGGACGGAACATTGTAGGGGCCTTAGTAGTTACAGCAGGGTTCCTTAAAGATGAAATGGGCCCTTAAAGGGGTTTAGGGTTCATATACCATATCGGGATTCATAGTATGAGGGTATAGGGACCTATACTTGTAAGGGTCATTTGGTCCTTAAGGTTCCGGGGTTCTTCAGGGTACACGGAAAACCATTGGCAAGTATTTAGGCTTCCATATAAGTAGTTCTGTAAACTAGTGTCCCCTTTTAGGTCCCCAATATATAGTACGGCACCCTTATAAATAGGACCCTAAAAGGGACCCTAGTTTAGAGAGCTACCCATATTACGTTCCTGGGACCACTTGGACTGCGTAAGTTAGGTTTTTGGTTCAGGATCTGGGTGCAGTTCTCAGCTTTAAGTGTTAAGAGCTCATGGTTAAGAATTTAGACGGTTTAGGGTTTAGGGTGTCTGCGCTTTTTTGCCCGGGCCCGGCTATGTAAGCAGAGAGGTTATGAGTACTTTATTGGAGAGTAATACGCGATTACGTGCAGGTATAGCTACTGTATGTATATCCCCTGCTGCTATGTTCCATGTCCTCTAAATGGACGAAGCGACAGATCCAAATTTCTGCTCTCCTTTGAATCCGGTTTCCGTCCACACATCCTACATCCAAGTTTGGCTTGCGCACATACACGTTGCATATATCTCTCTGATATACCTGTGTATGTTTAGGCTTAGTGTGTGGGGCTCAGGATTCTAGATTCACAATAGGATCTTGGGGCCCAAAAGCCTTAAAATATGAGTCCTTTGAGGGTAAGGGTTAATTGGGGTTATATAAGTATCCCTTATAGATCCCTTAAAGGAGCCCTTTACGGAACCCTACTTACCAAGTTCCACCTATAGTCTCCATTGCAGTTCCTTTTTTTGGTTTAACCAATTCTA